ATTCCGCAGCAAGTGAATGGCTACTGCCGCTGAGGCGGTTACGGAATCCCTGCCAACTCGTGTCGCCGCGCTGTTGGCGGGAACGATATTTTCCACGTTTCCAAAAAAACACACGCCCGGTGTTTGCACGAAGATACCCTGTGATCTACCAAATTTCACGCTTTCATTGCGCACAGCTGGGCACCAGCTCGCTTATTGTCGCCCATCGGGGGAAGGGGAAGGCCGTCGTAGCGAAAAATTGTGTCGGGCTGCGGCGACAAAATTACGGAGCGGAGATTATTTCGCGAAAGTGCCGGGAATTTCTTCTCTTTGCTCGCGTATTACTTATATTGCTCGTGTTATTCGGCAATCGCTTATATTTTACTCAATAATTATTCATCCTGCGCATATTATTCGGAAATCGCTCATATTATTCACGATAATTACACTCGTATTATCAGTTTCATTCACATCACTCGACACGTGTCGTTCTTTTTCGTCGTTTCCCCCGTATATTTCTGTATAAAATTTCTTCCCTCACGTCGCGCGGGTTACACCGCCGTGACACGCCACACGATGTAAATCTATTCCTGGGTGCCGTTTACATTTAAATTCGATTTCGGTGTGACGATTACCGCGGATAAACTCGAGACCGAGGCGTTGTTTGCCGCAGAGCGCGCGGAGAGACCAGGGACGCGAAGTTCCGACGAATATAACTCCGTCAGTTTCGGGCGCGTTGGCAACGGGCGAATCTCGAAATCTATCAACCTCGGGAAGAGAAGCATTTATATATAACCTTTATGTCTTTCCGTAAGTACACTGTTGTGTCTACCGGCGGGAGATCGATATTCTTTCACTCCTCAACGGCGAATATCGTCGTAATTATTACCCTTATCGAATCTTCCTTAAGGCAAAATATAGTCCGATCGACGAATCCGTCGTTCGTGGATTATTCAGCGCTAATGGAGCGTCCCGTATAATGTCGCGCGGTCTGTTTTATAATTCAGAAGATTTAGCTCGCGGTTCGACAAGCATCGGTTTACTCGAAAAGCTCGGTTCGATCTTGGAGTCATATCGGGCCTCGTTGCATGCGATGGAAACGAATTAACGATATTATCGACATTGTTGCTCATATGACGTGTGTGTGTGTGTGTGTGTGATTTCCTGAAACCTATTGAAACAATTGAGACTTACCGAAGAAGATACGCGATTTTCCGTGATCAGGCGGCAAGCCGATCGTTCGTTCACCACGAACGTGACAAAACAGCTGNCCCCCCGCCCGACCTTCTGCGGTAAACGCGAAAGGCGTAGCCTCGGCAAGGAGAGAGCCGCCGTTCGGCGGTTCGATTATGTCTTATTGACGTGGCCCGCGTGGCGTGTGCGGCGCGCGACGAAATTGGGTCATCGGCACGAAATTGCTACCACCGAACCCCAAACGAAATTATTCCGTGAAATTTCCCGGCGCTGGATACGGTCTATTTGCGCGATATTAAGAAAGCCATTAACGGCCGGTTCCAGTCGAGGCGGATAGCACCGTTGGTACTGGCAGTTTTTAGCCGATCCGTCAATTCGCCTCTCCGGCCGCTCTTCTATTCAGGGTTTTCCCGCGAATAACAAGCTCTCTTGGAGAAATAACGCGCTTTACTGTTATCGTCCGCGTTACTCTTTCCCCGTCCTCTCTCTCCCGGCATCCGTCGTCTTTCGGTTTCTAAAGATAAAAAACACAAATCAGACGGGGGAACCTCTTTGTTAGAATTTCTCCCGCGGTAACTCACTTTTTTTCATCGCACGTACAATCGGAATATCGCATTCGTAATGTTGCTTGTGCCGCGTCCGCCTTCGTTACCCGTTGCCTCTCTTTCCGACGTGTTTCTCAGTCTCGCATAAAAGTGCCAGTTATCGCGATATCTCCTTAAGGAGCTTCGAAGTTGAAAAGCGTATCGACGAGTACAAAAGAAGAACCGGGGTGACTCGAGGGAGATTCTTTAAAGAATCATCCGGCTTTTTAACAACGCGACGAGAAACTGATATTTCCCCGGTATTTTCCGTTCGTTGTAATTGATTTCCCCCGCTGGAGAGTCACCGGCCTGTCAAGACGATGCAGCGGCATTCTCTCTCAATAATAATCTCAGCTTCGCGAACGACGAAAAAAAAAAAAGAAAAGAAGGAAACTAACGACGGGAACAAACGGTGACATTTTTCAAATCCGCTTCGTTTTCGAGCCTCCCGCGCGGACCCACGCGGATCTTATTATATCATAAGGGACCATTATAACCGCTCGATGTCGCACAGTGTCATTCGTCACTGACACCCTCGACAAAGGCGGGAGAGAGCGTTGTTGCATTCGAACGTTATGGGAATAAAGACAGGGCCCTGTATACATCCCGGCCCGATACAGAAATCGGACAGGACGCGCCAAGATTTATCGCGCTCGCCGTCTCTCCTCAGAAAGTGATGCGCTTTACGTTACGTCTGGCGAGTCCGTTTTCACAATGCGACACGAATACATATTTATCGCGGGCGCGCGGATGAAACACACACGTGGCCGGTCCTCTCCGAGATAAGTTCGACTTTATTCCCCTCTTCGCGTTCTTACATTATTCGCGCGATCGATTCGCCCGCGTGTACAGCGCGAGGCAACGACTATTACCGTCATGACCCCAAGTACCGCATGAAGCTTAGCTTAAGATGGCTGCGATAACGTTGCCGTGTGGCTTAAATCGCGGCATTTTTCCGTACCACAGCTACTGCCGCAACGTCATTGTGACGTTTCGACCGAGTTCCAGCTGCAAAACTGGGGAAACGTTTCTAGGCCTTGAAGACGATGTCGCAAACATCTTCCGCAAATGTAAATTTTTCCCCATCTTCGCCCGGTCGTCAATATAATATTATTTATCTTTCGGGGATGTTCAAGGTGGCAATATAGTTCTGTTATTGCCGCGCGTCCGCCTCTTATAAAACACACTCCCGCTGGATTTCCCACTTCCTCCGACGCTCTGCGTATTATTGTCCGCTCGTCGTGCGCTCCACGCCCGTGCATCATCGCACACCCGCCATCAAGCTGTTTAATCGCGAGCTCGCTCGAAATAATCCGGCGCGATCGACGATTCGCGGCGTCAATCGTCGAGACGGCGTGAGAACACAATGCGCTCCCTTCCTCCGCGATTTCTTCCCGTCCCGTCGATCGGGGGAATTTCTCCCTCGAGCGGAAAAACGGAATTCCGACGCGAGCGGTGACGCTTTTTAAAATAGCCGATATGTTTGCCCGCGCGTAAAATAGCTCGCGATGCGAAATGTAGGATTCGATTTCGACCTGCAGTTTAAAAAAATGCATCGTTTTTCGGCATTCAGCGCTAATGATATTTTCCACCCATCCATCCATCCATCCATATAACCGTCCGTCCGTCCGTCCATCCGTCCGTCCGCAACGTGTCGTACGGCGGATAGATGATCGACAGTGTGCGGTCCTTAACGTCAATAAAAACGCTCACGTACGCGTGGGAAACGTGCGAAAAAAAAAATTTATACCCAGGAAACTCCGAAAGAAACGCATACCCACACGCATTAGATATGTGTGTGTGTATATATATAAGTAGGATCGTCCAACACGGATGGAAGTACGCTGGAAGGCCACGCGCGATCTGCGAACGTAACCGGAACGCTAACGGATCTTGCGCTGTTTGTCGTCAATGGAGTTTCTAGCGGCTCGAAAAAACACGCCAATGTTATTCAAATCACGCACAATCGTCGATCAAGCGATAACGCGGGGGGTTTTTTTTTTTTTTTTCATTCAAATCAGGACGTCGTGACCACCGTGTCTTTTCAACACGTATATCATAAATCATGCGATATGCATTTACATGATAAAACATAAATATATAAAAACGTACTAAGATAGAATAGAATATATAAAACGAATGATAATTCTGAGAAGCTCTCGAGAAGGACTTTGAAGGATTTCGCCAACATTGTCCGGCGAGTTTAATAACGTCGCCAGGACTTGTTTTAAAATATAACTGATTCCCTTTACCTAAAACAAGTTCAACAAGGTATGCTTTTATTCTTCGATAACTTTTACCTCACGCAGGGGAAAAATTTATCGACGGGAACAGTAAAGTTATTATTTTCCCTTTATCATCATTATTAAAAGATATCAAATAAGAGATTAAATTAGACGAACAGTCGGTAGTAAAAAAGTTACAACACTTTTATTCCGATGAATTTCACGGCGCGTCAGTACCTAATAGGAAAATTCGTTTTTCTCGTAATTGTCGGGAAATAAATTTGCCTTTTAAATACGATATGGGTTCTATTCTGAAGTTTATCGTTACAAAAGTGTTTACGATTCTTTCGTCATCGACTAAATACGATCGTGGATTCACGATCGAGCCGACGACGCGGCAAAAGCGAAGAACCGACGTGCGACGACGTCGCGTTCACACGTGGGAAAACAATAACGGCGCGGCCCGGCTTCGCATCGGAATCATTTCACGGTCCCGTGTCCGTACATCCGCTGCGGAAATCGACGATTATCTCTGTCCGACGGACACAGCTGCCGTTATCGCCGATATCCCGCCATAACGAGCGCGATCATTCGCGCCATTGTCTTCGTGCCCCGCCGCCCGTAATCACAATTACGACGTAAGCTGCTCTCGTACACACCCGGTTGTACACAGCCGGTTGTAAAAGAACGCTTAACGGCGAGGGGGAGTCAGATATCGCCTCGTGAAACTCGCCCCCCGCCCTCCACCACCGTCCTTCCGTACTTCGATCGGTTGTCGCGCAATTCACGACGAGATCTCAGATCCCGCCGCAAAGGGCCGTTCACGGGGCTAAAAGGCGAGCATTCAAGAGCGGGGCTGAAGGGCCGGGGCAGGGGAGGGTATGTTGGAAAAAAAATCTTTTGAAAAAAAAAAGAGCCGAGTGACAACAGGAAGTGGGACACTTTGTAGTCGGTGCAGTGGGTGAGAGATAGTAGTGAGACGTATCCAGCGAGTGAACGAGTGGCGGTGCATACTTACGTCCCGTTAAAGGGTGCATCAGAGCGGGGTGCGAGGTGGCTGCTGCAGCTGCTGGTTGCTTGGGTTTGCTAACCTTTGTGTTACTTTTTGCAAATTCCAAACGTATGGTTTGTGGCATATCAGGATCGAATCTAACCCCCTGCTGCAAATAGATTCCCTAAATTAGTAAATCGGGAGCACATGTGGATGGGCGGTGGTGTGGTGGGCAGAGAGATGAGAGAGAGAGAGAGAAGAGAATGAGAAGAGGTGGCGCGATGGAAGAGAGGTGGAGACAGAGCGAGAAAGAGGTGAAGGGAAAGAGCTTCTTTCTTTCGTCACTAGGCACGTGCCGGGTTTAATTTGTCACACGAAATAAAATGTTACTTTTTCAATATTACTATCTGTGCTGCTATTCCCCGCGTCCTCGCGAGATTGAGAAAAATCAGCTGGCCGATGCCGCAAATAATTTTCAAACGATAAAAAAGCGCCTCGCGTCAAATAAAAATCGAAAAGAAAAAAATTATATCAATGGCACGACAGAAAGTGCCCGCGCGCACGATTCTACGCCGTTATACATTCATGTGGTGTGCGCGGGAGGAAGCTGTTTTGCGCGTAACAGCGATATATTTAGTTCGAATGCCGATGCAGCTTCACCGTTGTTTAACGCATCACGAAAACGTCCACGGTAATATTGACAGGCTCGTAACCAATCACTCTCCGTCTGTGTTCTCTGCAGCGGTTTATTTTCTTTCCGCGTGTCGTTTCGGCGACACCGTCCATTTTGCGAGAGAAAGAGAGAGAGAGAGAGAGAGAGAGCGGACGAGTTTAACGTTTATCGAAGTGAGTTAGATCAGTGCAAATAGCTAATCGATATTCTGTGAATTACTCGCACACGGTAAAAAATTCGGTCAAAATCACTTATATATATTTTTTTAGAATTTTATACTTTAATTTAATTCTTTCTTTCTTAAGCGGACGCCGCGATGCCGCGAGATAATTTAGACGCGATAATGTCTTCAATGTCAGATGGAATTATTGAAATTAAATTGCTTCCACATACCGAATTGAGAAACGATCGAGTGAAAGGGCGCGTCGTAATACGATAATCGGTAAATATATAAATCGAGAAGCCCACTCGCCATATGTTTTCGAAGCAAATAGGAGAACTGCTGTCACGCGAATATCGCCTTCTCATGTCAACATATGAAAAGAACATCTGTAAGAGCGTTCAAATGATTAAAAAAAAATCTCGTCTCGTTGGCTGCGCCGAATACGACCGGCTCGATCGTGTAATGGCGTATATTTCGTGCGTGTGCAAAATAAAACCGAAGGACCGATCGAATCCACCGGTGGCTAGCGACGAAAGTGATGGAGGTATAATAATAGTACGGAATTACCAGGTGGAAGGGAAATTAGCACAAGGGCGTGTACGTGTGTATACATGTGTGTGTGTATGTGTCAGTGTGTCAATGTGCGTGTGTGCATGTGTGTGACTGCGTGTCAACGTGTGTCAATGTGTATGTCTGTGTAAATATATGTGGCTGTGTGTCAATGTATATGTGTGTATCTATGTGTGTGTGCGTGTGTGCCGCTTCTTTCTTTGTAAGTGTATTCGTAAGGTGAGTCGCTCGTTAGTACGTTTCTAGGGTGTTTCCAGCGAACGTGTCCATCCGACAATAGGATGTTTCTCTACGCGGTACGTTCGTAGTAGTTATATACCGTTGCCATACGGGTTATGTAACATTGCAGATTGCGTGAGGTCAGTTGCAACGGTATGGTAGAGCTATATACGGGGTGACCAACTTAACGGCCATGAGAGAAAATTCGTGGCGGGCGCTCGCGACGAAAAGCCATTTCGTCGGCGCGCGCACGGAGAATTGTATACACACGCGTGATACAAAGCAACCAAAGGTGAGTCGCGTGACGCGAGCCGTAAGGAAGGAACCATTTTTAAAGGCCGAAGTTGATCGCCCCGTAGATATATGTATTTACAGATACATATATACGCGTTACATATAAATATATTCGTGTCTCGCGGGTGGTACATGTACACCGTTATCGATCGCGCCGTTTAATCGCCGCACGGAATTTCGAAGCTCCCGTTTCTCGACCGAATGGAAAGGAAGTTTCCGTTGAACGCGGGGGAAGAAGAAAAAGAAAAAAACGCGAGGAAATATATCTCTCGATCTCTCTCGATCCGGCGGAGGTAGATTCGAGATAATTGCGCAAATGCCAAAGCTTCATGAATTTGCGGCAACTTTTATCAATTCGCTCGCGCGCGAAGCCTTAAAGAGAATTAATTCGCATCGGTAATGGTCTGGCGAGTACCGCGCTCGTTTCCGCGTTTGTTCCGTCGGTTACACGTTACAACGCTCTGTTACAACGCGCGCGGACCACAGCACAACGAAGTTTACGCGCTGCGTACGTACGCTCGAATATACGTATATGCAACGAGATGATACGCTTGTCGGGAGGCAAACAACACCATATATATAGAGAGAGATATATATTGATAATGCCACACGGTGCAGCGTTATTACAATACGCCTTGATACGTATACAGGTAGACAGAAGGTAATACTACGTTTGGTCCCAATGAAAGAGAGAAAGATAGATAGATAGATAGATAGAGAGAGAGAGAGAGAGAGAAAGAGAGAGAGAAAACTACGGTAAAGAGAGAGAGAGAGATGAACAGATAGATCGAGATAGATAGAGAGGTCGTGGGTGTAGTAACTAATAAAGGTAAGAGCTAGGTAGCATTAACCCGTGCCAGCTGGAATCTAAGGCTGGGTGGAATTCGTAATTAAAAAAAAGGAAAAAATGAAAGAACGGAGAAAAACTGCCGGGCATATTATCTGTACGAGTGTGTGTTATTGTGTATGTATATAATTATATATGATGATATGTATATATATACATATATATATATATGTATATATATACATATCGATCTCTCTCGCGCATTAATCGCGACTTCCTGCGCAGGATGAGAGAATCCACCACCTTCCTTTTTTTGTTTTGCGTCATTTTGTCTTTCCTCCCATCTGCCTCTCGTGATGCCTGCGAGAAAAGGGCTATTACCTGCAGGTCCTGCTTCGCCGCCTCCGCGCCTGCCCTTGTGTGAAAAGTCACGAATCCCACCGGCTGAAACGAGAAAGAAAAGCAACAAGGAGCGTTTCGTTCGTCGCCGCGTTTTCGTTCGTGATTAGCGCGTTTCTCTAATCGGGCACTCGTTACGCGAGCCGTCGCCGACGCCGTCATTAGTCTCGAAGGGCGGCGAGCGAATTTACGCCCGTCGACGCTTCTTCGCCCATTCGTGCGCATCGCCCCGTTACGTGGGGGCAACGTCTATCGTATTATTCGCGATAAAGAACGCGGCAGGTAAACAAGCGTCACGTGCGCTTCGCGCATCTAACGGTGTTTTTACGGCGGAGCCCGCTTCGGGGCGCGATTTATAATTCGCAACGAGTCTCCGCAGACGGAATTGTATCCGTGAGTCACTCGGGGAGATTCGTATTAGCAGCAGCCGTTACTTCAAACTTATCTCAAAACGAGATACTCAATTTGAATACAGAGTCGGATGTGAGTTGAATCGCGATTACAAACGAATGTAAAGAAAATTTTACGAATAAGTCGCTTGAATTTGCGTGTGAGCGCAAAATTAAATGCAAATATAAGTATCGCGTGTGTCATGTGTATTTTAAGAGAGCTCTTACATGCATATCGTCATTACTATTTTTGTACTATTAAAATAAAAAAGAGGTTTTTTAGGTTAAAAATAACTATAATTCCTCTCAATGTGCGAGATAAACGAGATTATCGTCTTGTTTTTCGTCGAGGTTTTCATCTTGTTATTGCGCTTTNCCCCCCCCCCCCTCTCTATCACTCTCTCTCTCTCGCTCGCGCTGCCGGCACAATCCTCGACATTCTTATTCGCCCTTTTATCTGCACGAGCGCATCCGCTAATTTATTCGGCTTCGACGGCATCGATTCCATCGGTTTCATACGGAATTAACGGAACAACGAGGACACCGGGCGTCGCGACGCAAGAGCGCGCAGATCGATCCGCACTAACGATCGCTCCGCGAAGGCGAACCTACCTACCTACCTACCTACCTACCTACCTACCCGCTTCATAATGCATCGCGCGATTGCACCAGCTGCAATCGACGGTGTCGATTCCTACGACGGTATGCGAGATAGAAATGCCCGATCGTTAACGCGGATTTCGTTACCAGCTCTCACTTCCGATCCCGCGCCGTTCCTCGAATATTCATGCATCCGAAAGAATGAAATTGGAGCGGCCGAGTGCGATCTCGAAGGAGCGAGCGAAACAATAGTACGATGCAAAAGATACTCGATCGAGCTTCCCGTCAACTTTTCCGAAAGTAACGTCTCTTCCTATCCGTGAGATCGATAGATTTATATAAGATAATCGGATGTTATGGTAGAGTGAATTGTTTCTTAACCGGTCTGTAATCGTCGATTATTGGCGAACAATCCGCCATCCAGTCGCGGGTGATTAATCGACGAATAATCGAATTCCCCATAAAACGGATTGTGATAAATTTTTATATGCACATATACTCGAAATGTATAAAGCGTAAACGGTTTTATAAAATTTCGATTACAATTCTCACTCCTGTGCTGTAAGAAACGGAAGATTATATTCTCCGCGACGGAACCTTTTCTACTTTCTTCTCTTCAATTCGCTCAAGTCGAGATCGAAATTGCACTTTTAATCGTACATTTATCCACAGCTTGAAAGAGAATCGCTGTAAAGCTGGCCCCGCTTTTTCAAAATTTGGGGAAAATGAACGAAATTCTGTTTGCCCCTCAATGAGTTATCAAGTTTTTCGTCTATTTTAAAAAGAGTTCCGCCGATTAAAGCAATTAAAGCGCCATGTAAAAGTACGGAAGACCAACTTTACGATTACGTAACTTGCAAGTGTCACGACTTTTTACCTGAAAATTTAGCACTTCGATTCTTAAGGACGATCGACTTTTCGGGAGACTACCAGAACTCTTAACGGGACGCCAAAATTCCGAAGGAAATTTTATCCTCAACGAGACAAGGAGATCCTTTTTATCCGCCACTTTAAAATATGTTACAACCAAATGGAAAAAAAAACAAAAAACAAAAAATAAAAGAATCATTCTCACAGAGAGTTCTTCAAGAAGTTCCAACAATTATTTCTAAGAATCGACACGCTAACAACCAGAACATTGATCAACTCTTTCCTTCAAATTTGGAAAAAGTCGGACCAACTTCGCAGAAGTCGAGAAAGGTAATCGATCGAGTTTCCAGCGTATCGGGAAAATTAAATGATAACACAGCTATTACCCCGTGGGAAGCGGGACGAACTAAGCTTTCGAGCGCAATTTCCCCCGTGTCGCTGGGACATTTCCGCGCGGAGATATCGGCGAACCCTTTGACGGGGTCCGCCGCGACAATGTTGCGCGCTGCTGAGAGGTGTAAAGCCGACGGCTCGAACAACGCCGGCACAGGTACGCGCGCCGCCTCGGCATACCTGGGGCTCTTCGAACGAGCTTCGTATCACGGCGCGAAATCGACGTACGAACGCGAAACAACCGCCATTCTCCTCGGCATTTCGCGCCGCACGCGTCCGCGCGTGTCGCGTGTACCCTTGTCATGATGTGTGTTCGCATGTACGATTACACGGTGGTGTGCACGATATATCGTATCTGTGAAAGAATGCCGGGATATAGCCAGATACGCGAGCGGAGACCGTCGAAAGTTTCGATCGCACGAAATTTCGCGTGTGCGCTGCGCTCGAGGAGTCGTCGAGGGGAAACCCGCGCCCGTCCCCCCAGCCCCTGTAGAATTTTCCCTCGTCATTTACGCCGGCTTTATGAAACCCGTGATTTCGAAGGTCGATGTTATTTAAGAGCAATGCCGAATAAATTAATATCGAGCGGCTCGCTGAGATTTTCTTATCGCTCTTATTATTACCTCCTTACTCGTATGGTCGCGAACGTTCGGCCGAGAATGAATTCGCCGCCGTTGGGCCCGAAGTTATAATCACATTATCGTGAATTAAGGTCACACCCCGGTGGAATTAGAACCCCGGCGCCGGGATAAAGCGTAGGGAAAAAGAGCTAATGACGCGACTGTACGAGTGTGCGGATTGAATTTTACGGAATTACGGATTTTTCTTCTTCCGCGAGAGAGGACTCCGAATTCCTTCGCTCGCCGCATTCAACGCATCGTACGTACCACGCTTTTTTCTCTCATTGCGTAATTAAATGGTAAGTAGAAAGGCATGTTTTCTTCTCCCGTTGATAAGTGATCGCTGCGTCGCTAAACCGAGTCCCACGAGCGCGAAATCCCGCGCGAGTCGATCGCGACGGAAGCGAACGGAAAGCGCCGCACTATCACCCGTTCCGCGGCGTTTCAACAGCCGGGCCCTCATCGGCGACCTCTGCGTTTTTATTTCGCAGCGAACGACGTGCCGAAATCCGTCGCCATCGATGCGAATTAGACACGACCGACGCCGCGACCGCGCTCCCTCACCTGTATTATCCGTGCGAATTCCCGTAATCCTTATCGGGACGCGGAATAGCCGAACGTAATACATCGTTTCGCGAGCGAGCGAGCGCGTTTTTTTTTCTCTTTTTATCAATACGTGTATCGTGATGCGATGTAGGTTAATGGTCATGCGTGCAGCGCCCACGGAGACGATCGATTTCTTCCTTCCTCTTTCTCTCTCTCTCTCTCTCTCCTTCTCTCTTTTCTTCTTCTCTCTTCCTCTTATATATATATATTTTTTTTTTCGTTTTAGCACACCATGTTTCGATATACATACACGCGTATACGAACGACGCGACGCATATCGGCTTTTCTTGCGGGTGCCAGCGTTCTTTGTGTTATCGTCGTCGTCGTCGTCGTCGTCGCGACAACTCGCGCGTCCCGTATATACCCGTCGCAGCCACGGCCATGTAAATGCGCGTGCAATTATGCACGTGAACCGGCGCGCAGGGTAAAGGCGCCACTCGGGTGCGCGATCGCGCATAATCGAAGGGTCTGGAAATTATGATAACGCTCACCTCGGAGACTGCGACGCGTCTCACCTTGTTTAGAGAGGGCGCATACGGAATGCTCGCGCTAGGCGATGAGCTTCGATAAGGCCTCGGCTCATTGCCTAGCCCTAAACTATATTGGCCGTTTGTGTAACGTATGCGTGTAGATCGATTATTCTGTTAATTTGTCACTTTGGCAGTTTGATCGTACTGTGTCGAATAATATCCGGGAGAATAGACTAAATCCAAGTAGAATTACTCCAATATTGGTTAGCAAATTTTTATTTTGATCGAGTAATATTTATTTAATAATAAAGTAGAATATATTCCAAGAAGATTATCCAAATGAAATATTTATTTAATCTGAATAAAAATTTTCTAGGGAATATTGGAGTTATTTATTTGAATCTGGCGCTTTCTTACGCGCAGATATGACATGTACATTTTTCTTTTTCTTTTTTTTTCAAAAAAACTAGTGAGTTTTAGCATGAAAAATGTTAAGGCTTTATTGAAGCTCACTGTAAACAACCAACGTAATAACCTTTACCAGGACTAAGGTCACTAGAGTCTTTCAATCACACACATTGTTTTTACACACTGAGAAACAGTACTTGAAAATTCACTTGTGGGAGGGAGATATAAGGTTTATTTCACAAGAATAAGACTTATCATACAGAAATAAGGTTTATTCTCTGTGAAATAATGTCCCGCGAATAAATTTCTAAGTATCTCTTGATCTTCCTGAATTTTTCAGTTTCTCTTTAAAGCATGTTCGTGCAACGCGACAGGATTATTCGAAAAAGTGGCAGCGATATCTAAGATATTATTCAAGATGGCATTTGTAGCGTGTGAAATATAAAAAGCACACATGAAAAAAGCAACACGTGAGATATCGTTGCCATTTCCCTAAATAATCAACAGTCTGTGATGCACGAATACGTAGAATATCTACGAATACGTAGAATATATACGTGGGGTATATATATGATTGAAAAATTTTCCGTTGACCCTTGACCTACTAACTGTTAAGGCTATTATGCCGCTCTGTGTACCAAGTGTCGCGTCGACGACGTGTGCCGCGAGATCGAAATTCGCTACGACTTTAACGTTCGTTAGAAGCGCCTTCCCTTTTTCCACGGAGAAGAGAGAAAAGTCAGCCGATAAAATCCAGACCTCGATCGAAGTCAGACAGTGAAATCCGATGGAGCGATTGAAAGCGGTCGGTGTGAATCGTGCAACCGAACGAGTTCCCGATGTTGAAGCGAACGCTCGCAATATAATGCGATTACCGTAAGAGGGAAGACGATATATTCTTGAATTTCATTGTCAAGAGAGAGAGAGAGAGAGAGAGAGTTACCACGCTCTCGTGTCGCGCGATAATCTCGACTGCGACCTCAATTAATCGAAGTACGAACGGCGCGCGGTATCCCCGCGACGGGAAGTTTATTCAGGCGAACAAACGAGCGATTGTCGCAATATTTCTCGTTCGTTCGCCATAAATCAAATCGCACGGCCGGAGTAATTAGCCGCGACGTGCGCGCGCGCGCGCGACTTGTACTCTCCGCGCGCAACAGAAATCTCCTCGAGATAATCGGGTGGATGGGAAAAAAAAAAATCAAACAGGACGCTCCCGGATTGAACCGCTTCTTTCTTCCGCCCGATCGATTTGACCTTTGCTAATCCGGAATCAAATCGAGTTTAATCCGCGCGCAGGAAAGGACGGCCGGCGCTGATCTCACGATTCGATCAGGAGGCGAGATAAATCCTCGTTTATAGAAGATTTCCAGCTGCAAGCGCGCTGATAAATCATCACCGCGAGCCACAAAGGGGCTTTGTGCCGGGCTCCATGATAGTGATGAAACGCGCTCGCTCGCGTTCGCACGGAGATACAACGGCGAAGATTGTCGGCGAGAGGCGACGAGAGGTCCCGACAACATTTGGAAATCTCCGGAGCGCCCGTGACGATGACCGAAGGAAACAAACGGCGGAAAGTTTGGTCGGTCCCGCCGTATCGATTCGCACACTGTCGTACCCGACCGTGCCAGTGGCCAAGGAGGTTTAAGGCACCGTTCACACGGAAGCCGGGGCTCGGCCCGCTCCTTCGCGCGGTTGTTTCATTCGCATTCTCCGCGCATTATATCCAATTACATCACCGACGGCCATTACGCCGCCGCGCGTTTACGTTCCGCGCTGGTTGCAACGAACGAGGTCAGACCGCGTGCAGGAACGAAAACACGTTGTTAACTTTGTTCACCGCGGAATATTCGCCGGATCGCACGAACAATCGCTAACCTCGCCAACGCGCGTGCTGCAGAATTCCTACGCGAGTAAGAATGCCCGCATACTTTGCAATCTGAAGGAGCTCGAGAATCGATAACGAACGGTGGTTTCAATTTTTCAGATTCGACGATTTCTAGAATCGAAGGTCCGTCGGGTCGAAGTTTTAGTCAGATCAGCGGAAGCGAGGATTTATGTATGAAAAACCCGGCATGAATAATTTTGGAATTGGTATTCGATATTTAAGAGAAATCTTCCGTAATGCGAGGAAATTTTGGGATTCAGCGGATTCTGGCGTTCTCGTGCGACGACTGGACCATGTTCGCGTCCGGATACTTCGCGATCTGAAAATGGAGCTTGGGATTTGAGAACGATCGCTGGTATCGATGGAACGGTGGTTTGAAATTTTCAAGCTTGACGATCTACGAACTCGAGGGTCTGTCGGGTCGACATTTAAATCCGATTTGGGATGCGAGAATTTACATAGAACGGAGGAAGACAATTCTGAAATTGATATTTGACATGCGAGGCTTTTGCGCTAATGTGCAGAAATGTCGAGGTTAAGTAAGTCTGGAGTAAATTCCGGGACTCTCACACGACGATAAAACCATGTTCGCGTCTGAATATTTTGCGATCTGAACATGGGGCTTGAGATTGCTAACGATTGCTGATACTGCGAGAACGGTGGTTTTAATTTCTAAAGCTCGCCGATCTACAGAATCGAAGTTTATCGGTTCGAAGTTTAGATCCGATTCGCGGGAGTGAAAATTGATATTCGCCGGCGAACGCTCAGAAGCATGGATTGATATCTCGAGGATCCGTTGAACTAAAGATCGACAGATGCACGACTTAAAATACACGAGAAGTTTGAACTTCCAAACTGAAGTAGAAGTAACACAGTTCACGGAAATCCATAAGAGACCGGAAGAACTTCACAGCTCATGGAAATCCATAAGACCGGCAGAACCTCACATCGACGCTCGCGAATCTCGTAACGCGTGAATTTGAAAAGTGGCGAATCTCCCGAAATCGATCGGGACTCGAAAATTCGTAAATTCTCTGGCATACTGCTGTAAAAAATTTTGTACATATTACTATAAAAACAAATCATGAAAGAAAGTCTGTCGAAACAACACGGAATCGGGTTAAACGAACTCAATTGCCGAGCTGCATACAGCGAACTAATTGCCCTAATTCTTTCAGCAAAATTTTCGTGTTCCCTTAATCCCTTGTTTGTGCGAAACAAGCTCAAAATTTAGTTCAATGGCGCGATTATAAAGCCGACCCAACCCATTGTTGGTCGTGTTTGCCGTCTGATTTGCTTAACCTTCCAACCGGAGGTAGAATCGCTGGTATTACACAGAATCGCTTGAAGTTAAATCAACTTTCGGTAGCTAAAAAACATCTGTATCCTACATACGCGTTTCACAGTTTCGTTTACCTTTTACTACCGGTTAAATATTGCATTCCAAATATTCCCACGTTAGATCGCTGATCAGGCTTAATTTTCAATCGACTTCACTCGATCGCAGTGACTCGCGCTCGGCAAAATCCGCTTGACCCTGAGCGTTCCTTTTGCCCGATTCTTCTTCCCAATGTAACCTTCAGAGAACTGCGAATCGGCCGGGTGCTGAGAATTCGCCACGTTCGGCATCCTAATTATTTTTTCATTCCAAGCGTTCGCTACTCGACATTCCTCGGGTGAAATGCGCGATTCTTTCGCGCTCGATACGAGATCACTGCGGTTTTATTTTAGAAAGCCGTTGTATGTATCGCAGGCGCGCGCGAGCGCGAGATGCGAGTAAAGGCCGCGAATAAAATGAATACGGAGCGAGAAGAAAGAAAAAAAAAAAGATTGTGATGCTTTATGGATTAGGGATTTTACGGCGTCGGTGTGCTCTCGCGTGTGCGCGGGTCCCAGCGTCGCCGCATAAATTAATGTTATCTCGGCGGGATTATACCGGGTTGAGTAGCGTGCGATGGTATTGCGGCATGATGAAATTTGATGTATTTCTCTCTGTCGACTGATTAGGTATTTTTAAGGCTTCGTGACTCACGTAATCAACGGGCGCGCTTCGAGCAAATAAAAAGAGCTCCCGTAGGGCGGGAGGGCTTACTCCCGAGCGTCTCCAATAAAAATCATCGCGCGACGTACCGTTAGGCTCGTACAATTTTAATCATCGCGATTTTAATTATCCGGCGTCCAGGGTAACGCGTACAATGATTTATCACATGTAGATTTTATTTTAATTTAGAACGCTATTACATATACCGGTATATCTAAACGTGCGATCAACGGTTACGTGTCGGTCACCCGGTAATAATTATAATGGAGTATATAAATAATTTTTGCGCAATATTGGAACACTGATATATATATATATATATATATATATATATATGTATTCATTATTTTCTTATAAATGGGAAATAATTCGGGGATAATCGAAATCTACGATATATTTGATAAATATCGGATTTCCTAGTGAAAGGACAAGCGAACTGGCACGGAAGAAGAATCAAACTTTCGACAACTTCTGATCCACGAGATAACTATTTCGTCAGACTGTATGAAATTACGCAAGGCGTATTACATAAGATATTATCGGTATTCGGTGTGCCGTTCGCATCTCACCGTCAGCAAAAGCGGGTCGATGAAGAATCGACGGGCACGACTGGCCGGAAACGTACGAAATCACGTAAAATCCCCCGCGGCACGAGAATTCGATCGAAACTCGCGGTCGGACCCGACCGAACTTTTCCCATTCGTTTTTCCCCCCGAGAATAGTCGCGCTCGAGAGAGACAGAGAGACAGAGCGAAAAAGAGAGTGGGAGCGTGAGAAAAAGAAGGGGACGGGGGCAGAGCGAGAGGGAAAGAATTTCGCCATTTTCCACTCCCCGCGTAATTGATTCGGAATTTGCTCGAAACGTACGACTGGAAATTCGCTGGAGGAAAGCCGAGGATCCAATTTTATCCTCTTCGTCTCGTCGGGTTCACGAAGAAACGGCGTACAATCGACAACATCGAGCACTGCGTCCCGTCGCTCGCGCGAAATCTAGGGCGGGATTTACGTTCGACGTTAAAAGCCACAGATGCGCTTTCCGGGATGGACGTTAAAAAGTGAGCGCACACGCGCGTTGAAATCGTAACGTCGTAAGCGAGACGTTCCGTCAATTTGGCGGTGGCAACTTACCGACGCTGTTTTCCCATTTTTACTCGTGACTTTTAACAGCGATCCCTCGTACCCCTGCAACAGAAAAGAAGAAACGTTACATTATCATTATATCAGCCGTCCTCGTATACCGCTGACAAACAAATTGTCGAGCGAAAACGCTGACCGATCTCGCATGGATTTTCCGCTCGCGAGTCTCTTTCTCTCTCTCTCTCTCTCTCTCTTGCTTGCCACGGAGAATAGAAAGTTCTCTCTGTGGTCTTAATTGTTCGCCTACCTAACGGAAGATGAAAATCGAGTCGATATCTATATGTGTTACGTACACTTCGCTTTTAATTTCCAAGTGGTAAAATCGCAACTCGGACGGGATTGCTGATGTTCTTTTCGAAGTCTTTTCGAGAATCCAGAGAAATTGAAAACCGCCAGGCCTTGAGAGAAATTTTCCCTAGTCAATTTTACATTTGTTTTCCTTTCTTCAGAATTTAAGAAAGAACTTTAATTGTCTTGTTTCCGACAATTTTTTTTGCAATTTTTGCAATATAATTACTCCCACTCTTTTTATTTCTTCCGACTTCTGCGTGAACGCCGGAGTTGTTATCGTTAATATTATCACACTTTTACTGAGTTCCGAATGATACATTAATGTTTCCGGTAAATCTGTGCGTTAGAAATTTCAAACGTGCGACATCATTCTTGAGTCGTCATCGACTGGGACTCGACGGCGCGCGATATATATATATAACACACAAACACATCTCCGGGAGTAATGATCACGCTATTCATCGTATGTCCATATTTCACGCGTCGCCACGTCATGCCCGCTCTTATCGGGCGCAAATGAAATTGAGTTTCTAACGAACGTGAAATCGATTTACACGCATGCACAGACGCAAAAGCACACGCGTTCCGATCGTTACCGCGTAGCCGTGAGTCGTCGCGCAACGAACGAGCAAGGTGATCGTCGTCACGTCGAGTCGTTACGTCGTCATTATGTGAACAGGTGCGCGAGAGGCGAATGTCACCTGGCACCTTAAACACGCGAGAGTTTTACGCCGGAAATCGCCAAAGCGAGCGAAATTGCTCGCTCGAGCGTGTAGCGGTTTATTGTGAAAAAAAAAAAATAAAAAAAAGATAGCGTTCGTCTGCGGAATCTTTCTCTTAATTACCGCTCGCGCGTGTAAAAGATACGACGAGTGACCGTAGCATCGGAGCCGATTTACTGTTATTTACTTAGTGAGCACAATACCTTCGTTGCGCAACCGGATTATGAAATGTTATATGTAACACATATAACATTTCACACGCATGTACACACGTACGCGCGCGCACGTGTGTCGCAACGTACAGCGCTCGGAGCGTGAAATATTTCAGCACATCTGACGCTATCGGATCTTCTATCCGCATATTTCCGAGATATCACCCGAATTTGACGCTAATTGAATTAACATGCGAGCGTGCGATGAGCTACTCTACATTAGCGCCGTGGTTCTGAGCGCTTCTAAATAACGAAACTCGGTAAGGTATAATGGAACGCAAAAATATACAGGGTGTCCGACGCGAGCCGTCACATATTTGTAGTTGTCAGGTCGATGTAAACAAAAAGTTCCTTCGCCATTTTTCAAACACGAGTTCCGAGTTATTAATTATTGAAAGTGCTCGAGTATACACAGTAAAAAATTGCGTGTTAATAGAGGTCTATTCAAATTTTTTTATTACTTTGACATTTGGAAATACGTTACGAAGTATACAAATATATGTTAAATTAACATATTTACCTTAGTATCATATTACTTTTTAACACATCGTCGTATTAAAGCAACACGAAAACTTGAATAGATCGTTACCGACATATAATTGCGTCACTATTTTCTACTGTGTAGAGGCTTCTTTAATTAACTCAAAAATTTGCGTGTTATTTGCAAAATGGTGAAGTGGTAAACATTTCTCGTTCGGAGTGGCCTGATCAACAAGTATACGACAGCTTGCGCCAGACACCTTGTATAGGACGACGAAAGAACGAATTAAATGTCGGAGATGAGAACGCACGCCGCATTTCTTTTCGTTCATTCAACTTGTTTTCATCCTTCAGGGCGAAATTTTTCCTCATGATGAATAAGCGACGAGAGAATTGTCGCGCGAAGAAAGCGTCGCGGTGCGTTTAATGAGACTCTCTTCTAGATCCACCACTCCGGCGACAGTCGGACGCTGAGCTTTCGGGTAATACAGAGACCCGCTTTTTATTTTGAGGGAAACTGTATTTGCAAAATATAGCGCAAGCGCATGGTAACGCTTGGCCAAAATGCGCCAGTCGGCCGAGAACCCGTTAGCAGCGGAATTTACGGAGCCCATTAAAAATAGCGAAGCACCGCGAAGTGGAGCAAGACACATTCGGATATTTTATTAAGGATCTGACACAAATTCTAAGATACCCGCGAATTTCTCGGCGACGACCGCTTGAATTATCAAACGATCTGTTGCGAGCACGTGTGTATGTCTGTATGTATAAATATGTACATGCGTGTGTGCGATATATGTGCTGTACGCGTGTATTTCTCCCGGTTCCGCGCTAATGCGTGGAAAAGGCGATTATTAGACGCGTAAGAGAGTTTTTAATTTGCCGCGGGCTTAATATGTAATGCCTCGTTATTGCGCTATCAAGAATCTCCGACGTCTGGCGTTGCCGCAAGAGGAATAAAGGGGTCCTCCTCGTCCTGGTAGAGGAACGTTTTCTTGGTTTCCTCTTTCTCTCTTTCTCTCTCTCTCTTTCTCCCTTCTTTTTTACGACAGCGACGCAAGTGGAACACGCGTTCATGAGATGAGCACTCGGTTACATGCGAACGCCGTAACGTCGGAGCTCATTACCGGAGTACCAAACTGTTAATAATCGCGCGATTGCGATGGAAGTGCTAATTAGCGAAGCCACAATTAGAGAGCGCCATAAGTCTCGGAACGTTTATCCGGCGAGCGCCGGCGAGTCTTTTTCGAGCTCGAACTGCGAGCGGCGCGCGAGCGCACCCCGAAATGCTCCACCTCGTTTCGCGTAATTCGCCATCGCGATGCCCCGAATAATTCTAGTCGCAGAATCATCGTTTTCCCATCTGCTTTGCCCGGAAACATTAATTGGGCTTGTATTTTGGGGAAAAATCGCAAAATATACCTCGCCTGGATTTGAGAGTTCCATTGGAAGGTACGCACGGGCGGGGGGTACGCGCGTTTAAAAGACGAGCGTGATAATACGCGTGTAGGGGAGCGAGGGGGGAGTGATTAATGCACGCGTTGTTGGGAGGATAAATTACAGGATTTAATGAGCGATTTTAATACCGCCCGAAAACACAGAACGGCTTTATACGCACGGATCGACGTGCAAAATTTCCCAGGTATCTGTTACAACATTCTTGGCAGCCGCGTGTTTCTTAATCTCGCGCTATTAATCAACTTCTCCGAGCTGTAAAACATATCCGCTTGAGATCTGTGTGCGTTAAGATTGTGTCAATTAAGATGGAAATTTATAATCGAAATTTATAAAAGCTCGGAATCATCGGACTTTCCACGCGGACGAGACGTGAGACGTAAAATTTCGATCGGGCGGAAAGAAAATCGCGAGAAACTTCTTTTCATCCCCACGTCGTCGCGGATGCGACCGATGGCGTAGTTCCTCGCTTACTTAAAAACGCGAACATTTAACGCGTCCACACGAAGAACAATAATTCAGAGAGACAGCAAATTTCATGCCGTCGGAGCAAATAAATATACAGTGTGTCTTTTAAGTACCATCAAATATTTTAGATGATTCATAAGATTATTATGTGAGGAAATCAACGTCCGTTCTGAACTTTTCCTTACGAAATAAAACCCTGAAAAATCAACTCTTCAAGTATTGGACAGTATTTGAGAAACGCCCTGTATATTAATTTCTTTGCCACGACAGCATAACATTTGCAGTCGCCGTAAAAATGACTCGTTCCCGTGTACCTGTCGTTACGTAGTTTTCAACGTTTAAACCTTCATTCGTCCAATATTGGCATCCATTCCAGTAATCTCCGTAAAATCGACGACGCGCCGTGCTTCTCGGTATCGATATCAGCGGCAACATTCTTGGCACTCGACTCGATATATCTGGCGTTATTAATTAACTCCCCTTAACTATGAAATATCGCGGCCATTAAAAAGCCAACCAGCCAGCCAGCCGCTCCCCGAGGGTGCATAGCGCGAGCTTTCGCCGTCACGCGAACGAAGCGCGCCTACGTACATGCACGCGCTCTCGTTGCGCAGCTCGTGCTGTAAGCACGAGCAGTCTCGAGTAGAGAATTTTGATGCTACTTATTAATACTTCTAAAGATAGTTGGCGCCTACATAAACGGCTTGTAAACTAGGAAAACCTACTTTAACGGCACTCCACACAGTAAAAAAGTGTGTGTTAAATTTAACCTGTCTCACGTGTCCACACAAATTTCAGCGTTAATTTAATATAAGATGAATAAGTTGAAAAGTGGCACAAATCTTATGTAAAAAATTAACACAAAATCAATATCCATGATATATGTTAGTCACACTGAAGTATAAAATGTGTTAATTTGTGATTGTAAGTGTGTAATTTTAACACTTACACGTACGTTGAATATCGACTCAGCACAAAATACATACTGAGATAACAAACACAATACGTTAAATCAATCACGCAGGTGTGTTAAAGATTTAACGCAAGGAACGGTTCTTTAACAAGAACCAATTTCAACACAGGTACAAAATATTTCCTATTGTGTCACATCGTCAGGATCGAGCCTGTTTTGTTACCTCGGCTCCTACTGTGTCGTACAATTAAAGATTTAACGCAGGCCGAAAATGTCGATTCGGGGCGGCTCGTCCGCTGCGAAAGTTTCGCGGCAGCGCAGCGGCTCTCTTCCGGTACACCGAGACTTCGTCGTAAATTTGCGCGGGGAACGGGTCATGCGACGCATTATGCGCGCTTAACGTTACGATATTTCAAAAACGATTAATAACTGGATTCGCGGGCGAGTGCGAGCGCAAGCACACGCCCGAAGAGATTTGCGGGCGAAAATAACGCGCGCTCGCGTCTCTCTCAAGGTTTATTGTCCCGCGGTATTTCGCCAGCTTGCGTCGGCGTGCCGATGCCAAGAAGCCGCGATTCTCTCTCTCTCTCTCTCCCTTTTGATACCGGAGAAGATCGCCGCGGGCGTGAGACGACCGTCGCCGATATACATCACACCCACACCGCGCGCGGAAAATCGGCCGCGCGTTTCCGCAGCGCCGATCACCGCATGGTGACCCGATTTCGTCGTCGCTCCGCGATTATGTATTTATTTTTCACACCCCGTACGACGTGAGATCGAACGGAGGAATTCGCGTTGAAACGTTCGCCGTTTAACGTTCCCGAGAAGATCCGAGAGATTGTATCGGCGAGAAGTGCCGACGGAACGGTTTTACGGAACTTCGCAGATCCAAAGAGAACTTATCTCTCGCCGGGAGAGAAATGCGCAGTCAATGGAGATCGATTCGGCATCCTCGTGGTGATCCTCGTTGAAACTGACTGTGGTCGGCTCGTTCACGGTAATACATAACTCCTCCGCGCTCATAAATAATCATATCGAGAGAGAGAGAGAGAGAGAGAAAACAAGCGATTTAACAGTCCGGCGCAAATTACGCTCGACCATCTTTGATGCTAATCATACTCTTCTCTTTCCTCTTCTAAAACAGTAGCACTCGATGCATACGAGTTTATTAGCAACAACAGCGCTACTGCGGCGTTTACGATAAAAATGTGTTTCCCAGCTGTAATTATTTCTTCGTACACAATTGTAATCGTAGGTGCCAGACACATCTTTTTCATTTCCTCATTGCGCAATACCGAACACACAATGCGATATCTCCGTTCACTCGTCCATCCGATTCTCAATTATCCGTCATCGCGGTCTCGCTATTATTGTTAATATATTCAATTGTTATTTATATAACCGTAGGATAGTAAAATGGCGTCGTATCTCTCTCGACGGAGCGTCCTTTCCGACAAAGGGCTCGTTTGAAGGACTCAACAAAGGTCCTTTCAACGAGTATCCCATCCCCGTTAAACCATGAAAACCGATCAGAAAATTACTGTATTACGTTTTGCCGCGTAAAATCATTATTTAGAGTGCCTCGGGCACGAATGTCCCGTTACGTAAAGAAGAGAGGAGGACGTCCTTTTGGAAGTATCTCTCTCTTTCTCTCCCTTTCTTTCTCTCTCTCTGTCTCTCTCTTTCTATGTATACTTCGCTCGCGGCGTTCATGGTACCGACGGAAATGTAATTCCCAGCACACCCACGCGACTAATCCTAATCCCTTTGCGCGGGCTGCTCACGACGATTTCATGAATATACAAAACAAGGACGAAGCAACGACTTAAAAAAAAAAAAGAGAAAAAAACGAGAGAGAAGAGGGGGCGGAGGGGAGAACGCAGCGCGTCGCCTTTTTCCTCGTCGAGCAACGATACGCTCGAGAGATGCTCGCGGGTTTAACTTTCGTGGGAGATTTCCAAATGGAGCGAGAACAATTTCGCCGTTTTTCCACCTGTTCTTCCTTTCGTGGCGACAAATGATCGCGGTTTCTTTTCCTCTTTCTCTTCCGCCACCGTCGTCGCCGTCGGACCGCGCGATTGAATTTCGCCCTGAAGTCGCGCGAAACGTATTTAGCTCTTTCTCGCTCTCTCTTTTTCGACAGACCGCGGCCTTTCTTCCGGGAAATTTCACCGGATTCATCGTTGATCGAATCGCTTCGATCGGCAGCGCGGAATCGCGCAAATCGCACGGATATCGGTGCGCAAAGTTAATTAATTTAGACACCGGGACAATGAACTGGACTTTTTTTATACGGGCGAAAAATAAAATATAAAATATTGACGTGCAAAAATATATGTATCGTGTGTGACATAGAAATTAGAGATGAATTCAACTGTCAGAGAGACGAAATATCTTCTTTCGTGGTGCACCTTCGTTTTGCGAAAACTTGTCCGCCCGCAATGTCGTCGAGATTTATACATACAGTCGACGAAAGAAAATGCGTAACATGCGTCATCTCGACGAATCCCTCAGAACGCCCGATATTCAATAGAAAAATGTACAATCACGAGAAACGATATCAGAGAGGAATTTTTGAGAATTGCTGAAAAACAAATTCTCTCATCGTACGTTGGGAAGCACATTGAACAAGAAAAGTGTCGCAGCATTCTTCTTTCCATTGACTGTGTGCAAAGTTCAAAGATAAAAGGAACACGTGTGTGAGACGACGGAACGCGGTCGACGAGAGCATCGAAATGTCATTGCTATCGATTTTTCGTCTCGCCAATGTCGGAGCACAGAAGTGCAAGCTCGTAATTGGCACCGACATAATTAACCACGTAGACAAACTAACCTAGGATCGCAAGCCAGGCAAATATGACGTTATAGAGGAGTCTCTCTCTCTCTCTCTCACGACGAGAGGCCGCCGTAGACGAGAGCATGATTCATAAGGGGAATATTCCCCTTGTGAATACAGTTCGAACGTTCAGTCATGACGCGCCCGGTCGGTCGGTGTGTGTTTCGCCGTATGGCGCGAGAACCGTAGAATGTAGATGAGCTTATTGAACCTCAACAGCGAATTAAGCGCGACTACGAAGAGCCAGACCGATGGTAGATGGGGGTAATTGATGCGATAACAGTGAGAGAGAGAGAGAGGGAGAGAGAGAGAGAAGGACTCTCTTCCTGAGCCACGTATATCCACGAGAAAAACCTAAATGAGTGTACGGCGATTGCTATCGGGATACGCGCGCGTGTTCTCATTTTCCAGTACATTCGAGATTTAGTTTAATTTAGACTAACATTTTTTTTTTATTTATTATCGGCCGTTTATCAGATGTTGTTTCGCGATCAGGTTATTATTTTGATTTAGATTCCAATTTAGGCTAGAGGTGCCTTCTGTATCAGGCTGTTACTTTCATTTAGGTTCGCGCGAGCCACTTTGTAGAATTTCATCGATTGCCAATGACTTTTTCTTCGACCGGGAGAGCAATTCAAGCGTGAAATTAACCGCGAGGGCGCGCCTTCTAATACCCCAGAGCTTACGCACGTACGGATCTCATCGCGTTCTACGGAACGTATGGAAGACGTTTTCGAAGCCTTGAATTATTGAGCGAGGGACACATCCCCGAAATTGATAATTCACGTATTCCGTGTTTTTCAATTCCGCGAGAGTTCTTTGATCCTTAAGCTCCGCTTACGATGGCTCGGTTTGCGGACGATTACGCGGTGGAATATTAACGTTTGCGGGAATTTCGGATCCTCTCCGCTGCGCCTTCAATACATCACGTCGTTTACATTCGCGAACAGCGCGACCGGCTCTGCATTTCCCCGCCCGTGTATTCCGGAACATTTCGTAGCGTCGGCTCCTCAAATCTCGAAACCTCCGCGGACCCTTTGATCTCGACATCGCGAATACATACGGCTATATATAAAATAGCAAGCACACAGACAGACATACAGGCAGAGACAGGGAGAAAGATATAGAGAATGGGCAAACTTTCTCTCTCTCTCTCTCTCTCTCTCTCTCTTACAAGACTCACCTCGTATGCTCTGAAGAGCAGATAGAGCTCCCTCGGCTTGGCGTCCATCGGCAAGCCACTCACGAACAAGGTGCGCACCTGAAACGGTAAAGAAAGAGAACGATAATTGAGTTAATTAACCTAATTGGTAGGTCCGGAGAGGGAAGAGGGACAGACAGATCGGGGGAGATCGAGAGAAAGAGGGAGGTAGGAAAACAAGGAAAGAAGAGCGGTCTTCGAATAAGAAGACGAAGGAGGAGGTGGAGAGAAACGCGCGGTCCAGGTGACTCTCGGAGGAGACGAGGGAATCGACTTTCTCGATTTGACTCCTGCCCTCCTGAACGCGAACGAGCCGATGGCTGGCTAATTGCAGAATCAATGCAAGAGCCTGAGAACCGTAAGAAGTCGCCTCCCCCCCCGTCGCACCCACCCACTCGGCTAGCCGCCTAGCCCGTCTTCCTTTTTAATTTCGCGATTAATTCGGCAATTTACGAGCGGGCGATCCCAATTAATTGGCGCGAAAAGCCCCCGAAGGTCCCCCTTAAAGTGATTCACGAAGATATCTCGTCCCCCTCCTCCCTGCCCGGCCACCCGGCCGATATTGATCGTTCTTTCCGGCTACTACTATTACTGATCGTTAGCGCCGGTGTAACTGAATTAATGCGATATTGTTTCGCTTTCGTCGGAGAATGCAAATCGACTTTCCGTGCTTGCCGCTGCTGCTGCAGCTGAATGCCGTCATCGGGAACAATGCAACGAGAAAGACGACTGACGCAGCTTTCGTTAGCGAGGCGCGCTCTCGAGCGCATATTAGCGCGCCAGATAATTACTAATCGAGCGTTCTCGAGTCGATACAAATTGCTGGTAATTCGTTCGTTTCTCCCGCTGAGAGTGCGCGAGCGCGTTACAGTCGTGACGCCACGGGGATAAAATGCGCGGACCGCGTTTCCGCGCGATCGCCGATATTAAACCTAGGTTAACGAACCATCCTGTGACTTACGTTATTATTAATCCTTCGTAAAAATCACGGCCAAAGGAACAATGTCACTTTTATCGAGAGGTAGAAACTTACGTTTAAAATATATTTATGATAATTAGACTTTAAAACAATGAAACATTAAGACAATAATTATCCAGCAGAACTTGCATACGTTTTGACATGAGTGCGATATATTGCTGTTTTAGCTAGTGCAAGTTAGTTGTCATTGTCCTGGATTTGGACGGGCACAGAGTGCAGACTGTTCGTGTGATGTAATTATTTTTACGATGGTTTAATGAGGATTAAATAATTTCTGAGACCGGATTAATCGGCCGAGATAAGACGAGTTGAAGGGACAATTTCTGACGATTTCCTTTTCGCCGAAAATTAATATTCACTCCACCAACTGGAAGAAAGAAATGATCCGAAGCGATACATTCGCGCAGATAATTGCGCCCGGCGGGCAATATTTTGTCGGTTCTCGCTGCGATAATTAATGGTGTCCCTTTATCACCGGCAAACTTGGCGATGCAACGCTGATAAAAAGCCGAGCGAGGCACGTAACCGTTTCGGCGTGGTCCTCGTCGTCGGCGTCGTCGTACGGTACGGGGTTGCCTACTAATGGATGAGACTAAGAGAGTAACTGTAAAGTTTCGCCGAGCAAGTTACATGACCGTCTTACGCCGAGAGCGGCCTTAAGTAATTGCTGCGGCCACGCACACTCGCGCGTGCCTCGCCATGTCTCGCGGTCTCTCTGTCGCGTCAAAGGTGCGCGCATGCAGCACACGTTGCGCATGCACGCAGGTGCGCAGGTGAGCGTGTCACCAAGGCAGGGACGACCTCGCGCGCTCCCTCGCCGCCCAACTTATAATGATCTCCGGAGCGGAGCATCAAATTGCCGCAATGAGGTTGCGGCAATTAATAAAGTTAAGAAACACCGTTGAGCAAAAGTATGACGGTTAGCAACTCACGCGGGCGAACGTAATTACGGAGTCGAGTCGCGCCGAGTTGCCGAGCCGAACGGTGCGGCGCCGCTCGTGTAATTATTCTAATTTTTCGCAAAGACGGCTCACCCCGATTCTCCCGGCGGACTCTATCGGCCGCCGCTGAACGTTTCTCTTGGAACACTCGGTACACTCCTGGTGGCGGGGAAGTTCCGAATTAGCGATCGGCATTGCGCGAGGCGTTACACGAGGCGACGAGGCAGGCAATAATGGCCAGGTGAAAATCGACACACGCGCCGACGTGCGTCGATATACACCAGACGTCACACTATGTGCTTTAACACGCCGACCGCCCCTCGTTCGTTCCCCCGTTCGTTGCGCGATAAGTTCCGGAACAGTTGGACAGTCAATATGATTTGAAAGATTACAAATATTATGGTCATCAATTATAGTCGAGGTAACTTTTTTTGTAATACGTGCTCTTACAGTAATAATACTCGACAGCTGCGAACAGTTAATTTTAATGAGACCAATCGTTCTTTTCCCTCAGTGTGCACATCGACGTGCGCGACTCTGACTCCATCAGAGTCTCTTCGAAAACCAGCGGATGGCAGGCGCTCCCGTGCTCTTTGAGATGATCCGAGTGCCAATTTGGATCACGCAGTCTTTCCTGCAGAGCATCTCGCGAGATAAAGGAGAACGAAGGGAGGTGGCGAGCATTTACGTTACTCGAGACTCCCCCCGGGTTCTTCGAGACGCGCTTGTCTCGTAGCTACTTCCGATACGTACTTTGACTTGCGTTATTCAAGCGTAAAACTGTCGGAGGAAAGCGAGGAAGTAACCTAGCCGGGAGAGATGCTATCGATAGTTACCTCCTGGAACTGGCTTGCCCGAGACGCCAAGTATCGAGACTGTACTGCGCCCGCAAATCGGCATCGAACCCGGTGGTCCACGTCGATCGGCGAGAAAGGAATGCGAATCGCTCTCTATCTCTATCTATCTCTTTTGCTCTTTCTCTCTCCCTCTTTCTCCGTTTCCGCGGCAATTATCCGATTAGATTGCGAAATAAATATCCGCGCGCGTGCTGAGAGGCGAGGCGAAGCGAGGCCGGGTCGCTGATACGCAAGGAAAGTCGTGAAGAATGCGGCGAAAACGCGAACGCCTCCTTACGCCGAAAGTTCGATTTTCAATTCTGCCGCCACCGTGCGCGACGGGGCTGCCGGGGAAAACTCGCTGAAATGCGGAATTGCGCGAGAGGATTCGCGACAACTCGATCCTTGTTTCACCCGGGGCGTGAAGCGTCTCCACGGAGGAGGCGAAAATCCGTAGGGAATATTCGAGCAGTTGCTCCGGGTGCTCGCCGATACCTCTTATTATTTCGACTCGTGAGCGACTTAATTAGCTTAATTTTAATCTTGGTACACGGTAATACGATTAATCATGCTTCTCGTGTCCTTTGTCACCTCGGCAACGCTGTTGCTGCACCTTTTCCAACTTGGAGGACTTCGGGCGCGCGAACTCCGACGATTTATTACGAATCTCTCTCTCTCTCTCTCTCTCTCTCTCTTTTTTTTTCTTTCTCTGTCTCGTTCCCTCCCTCCTTCTTTCTCTCTTTCTCTCTCGCCATTCTTTCGACCTACGCGAACAAAATCATATTGTTGTTCCGCTTATAAATATTCCTCTAGTCTAGTCCATCGTCACGCCAATTAAACGCGATGCACATTAATCAGATCTTTATCCAGAAAATTGTCGGTTTCTCATTCCTCCGCCTCGTCTTTATTCCATTTTTCTTTTCCTTCTTGTTCGCATTGAAAATTCCGCGCGCGTTCGCGGCTTCTCTCTCTCTCTCTCTCTCCCTTTCTTTTTTTGCGCGCACGCCTGTCGTTAGGCGGGTTTTGCAAGGCGTAGCTTCTAAACGACAATAATTGATCGTGGACGAGCGAGTCCACTCCCAGCGTGCTCGCAGCTGACCGTGTCGCCAGTTCTCATTGTTTCATCTTCAAAACTATGCCGCGCCGCCACTTGCGCATCCGCTGGCGACACTCCTTGTCCCATATTTGCGTTCCCCTTTTAGCGGCCGCTGTTATTTAGAAGCAACTTCGTGTACCCACCGGTATACGCGCGTGCATGTCGGTAAGATCGCGCGTATATATATATATATATAGAGCTTTTACATTTTCAAGATGTTTAATTGGGAATACATTTGCAGGATTTTGCATGAACTCTCGAATGGAAAATGTCGAGATAAATTTGACTCGAGATAATATGCGGGACAGTATATTTTTACTCATTCGCGCAACGATTCGCGCAATTCGAAAATCTATGCACAGATTTTCCCTAGCTTTTTCAACAATTCATATCCTGAAAACTATTTAGATGTAAATTAATCTCTTCCCACACACACATAAACCGCGCGATAAGAATCGATCCGGTAGCGAGAGATTAATCGCGCGCCCCGTACTTGGAGATCGCACGTGGCAGAAGGAAGGCACCGATTCGTTACCGTCCCCTCGTTAATTTCCGGCAGGAAGCATCGAGGACGGAAAAGCGGCGGGAAGCACGCGAAGAAAAAATAACTGTGAGCCCGCGAGCCGATTGATTTAAGGTGAACCCGCATAGCAGATCCCCGCGTCCCGTTAATTGTTCCTTCGCCGATCGATCAAGCCGGTTTCTTTGGCTGAACTTGCGGGATTAGTTTACGTCGTGTGCAGCTCCCGGCACACCGTCGCCCAGATT